TTTTGAAAAATCGATTGTTATTTTTTTGCATTTTCATTAAGTGTAATATCTTGAAAATGTTTTCTGAAAATTTCAAGTTGACTCGATGATTACTTTTTGAGTTATTAGACTCCTAACAGCGCGCTGACGCAAGTGGATAGCTCGATACTTATACTCAAGATTATTCTCAGTCACCTCCTGATGTTTTAAAAGCTTTTAAACCGATTTACAACGATCTCAGCAATGATAATTTACTTTCATGATGTGTAGTTCAAGATTGAATCCATAATCAGAAAACATTAAAAGATTCAACCAACTAGTGTAAAAAATATGTCTAAAAATCGTGAATACTAGTTCAGCTATCGTACAAATAGCTGAATACATATACATAATCATTATTATTGATTATGGATACCCTAGTACCTAATTGTGGATATAATTCCCATTAGTATGCTGAAAAATTGGATGCTGCACGTGTGAAAGTGGCAGATCAGTGCGCCAACGAGAACACTCGGGGAGCCAGAATGCTTCGTAGGCAACAGCAAATAGGAATTTTGGAAACTTGCACAATGACTGATAAACTATTATATGGCGCAGAAATAGATGACTCGGTTTAAGTAATTCAATAATTCGAATTTCTGTACGTAAATCCAATGTGAAACTTTAAACGCGTTTTTCTCAAAACTATGTTTTTCGAACCGGTGATCACTGTAACTCAAAAACCGTTTAGTAAATTTTAATGAAATTTATACAGAATTAGAATACATAATAAACACGGGCCTGATCGAAGGATTTTTATTTTTTCAAAAATTTAAATTTTCTAAGACCAATAAACTGTTAATTTTTTACCAAAAAATCTAGATTTTTTTTTCTGATGCTGCCATTTTGTTATTTTTTGCAAAAAAAAGAAAACCTTCAATCATGTCCAGGATTATCTATTTATAAAACTATTTTTTGTATTTGATTGATTTTAGATGTATCTCTAATTTAATAGTACGGGAGGTAGCAACGTTTTCGAGCAAGCATTTTAGTCAGGCTGGTTTTTTGGTATGTGGTCCTTAGTGCTCTCTCGGTTAGAGTATGGGCCGTCTGGCAGCTGGAAGTGGTTGCGTTAATTAGTGCGCAGCCAATTTGTACAGCGCGATTTCAAAATTTTGAAAGCATTTTAGTCAGTCCAATTTTCGTTTTTTTGACTTCGAATAGGTTCACCAGACTCAAATTTTTGTTGCCAGACATTTTGGGCGCTGCTAAATATGTGCCAGACGCCAATTTATTTATTAATTTTTTTAAAAATTCAAATCATTTTAGTTTTTACTAGACAGAAAACCATCAGAAAAATCAAGTAACTACATTAGACAGATGTGTTTGTTATAAACTTCTCTGCAAAATTGTGTTTATACCATTTTTCTTTAGAATCACCGTTTCTTACAAGTTGCCATCTGGAAAGTTAAAAAATTCATATTCCTCATAATATGCAGCTTTTATAAATACATCATCGAAGGTGAATTATGAGTGAAAAATAAAAATCCATTGATTTGTTTTGGATAGATGAGTTTAATGAGTCTTTTGATATATCACATTGTAGTATTATTGTTCCAGTGTGGGAGGGTTGCATACCTGATTGTTTTGAAGGAATTAATCAAAATGATTATGTATAAATGAATGCGAGGAGTGTTATAACATCCAAAGTGCTTAAACAGTTATCGTATTGAATAAATGTGCCAGTTTCTAGTACCAACACATGAGAAGGAAGATAAACTATAGCTACATTACTATATTATTGTATCATTAAGCCATAAGACGAATAAATCTGTATAATACACGTTTTTATTCGTTGTTAAAAAAACGATATTCCCAATTATAATCTTGATTTAAGAGACCTAGGTCGAATGACTATCATTATATAGTGATACTTATTGATCTAAAATGATCTCATTTCAATTTTTGAATTATTAATTACACTTCGATTTTTAAAAAACATTGCTCAATTTACAGCTAGAAGCTGAAAGAAAGAAGAGCGGAGAATGTTTGCTGTACAATATATATTGTATATATATATACTAGAATTTTTAGATTCTATTCTAGGGGTAGCTTGAACTGGTAAGATAGCAAAACTAATATTACCAGTATTAAGTATAGGTATGTGTTAAAAGCGATAAAAAAAATTGCGTATAGCAAAAATTATTATTATTGTCAGTTCTCATTGCAAAACTTAAAATATATGATATTCTTAGGAAATTGACGATGTTACTTAACCACTGTCGAGTCAAATTTTTGAAAATATTAACAGCAATATTTTAGAATCATTAACATATTTTTTAGAGCTAGTAAAATTAAAAAATTGACTAATATGATGCAATTTTTATTCTCTTTTCTAATTAAGTCTTTATTTAATTTTATTTTATTTGTTTTATGAAAATATTATTGAAAATGCACTAACTTTAAATAGTATACGTATAGCGCTCTTACGAGTATAATAGTTTTTTGTTTCATTCGCGCCAATGTATTTGGCGATTGTCTCACTCTGTCTACTAGTATCATATTGCCAAACTTTTTTTGTTGCCAGACATGCTTAACAACCACAGAAACGTCTGGCAAATTAATTTTATGTTTCTTGACCCTTAATGAACATAATACTAAAATTTCAGACGGACTAAAATGATTTGAATTTTTAAAAAAATTAATAAATAAATTGGCGTCTGGCACTTATTTAGCAGCGCCCAAATGCTGACTAAAATGCTTGTTTTGAAAACGTTGCTAGTTCTTATACTATAAGGAGTTATGATGGTCACCGCCAGGACCGTTTTTTGAAACAAGGCCAACAAATACAGCTATAACTTTGGGAATATTTATTATTTTTTCCTAAAATTTTTGTTACTTCAAGTCAAAACATTGTATAATAATGCCGTATTAATATTTTTGTAAAAAAACATAGTTTAATAACTAATAATTGTAAAAAAAATACTGAAAATTCTCATTTTTCTGATCCTCCAATTACCCCTAACCCCTTAAGTTAGTCATAAAAATAATAAATAATATATGACAATCATTAAACATAAATTATTAAACATAAAAAAAATCAAATGCCGTTGAACTATTCTTATTTATTTTGTATATTTTTCATCTTTTATTTAGGAATAATTATATAAAATATTAATCAGATAATATATTTGTGCATTTTATACAGACACACACACAAATTGTCAGGTCTATTTCAACTTTTGAATGTGTTCTACCTTATAGACTAAAACTAAATTTTGGATAGCGTAAGAAAAATTAATATCCTTTCTGACGATGCTAATTAAAAATTAGTCCAAACAACCGCACTACCGGAAAGTTTGAAACAAACTAGTTGGTTTGGTATTTAGCCTTGAGGCAAGTTACATGAACATCCCGATATGTGTAAATATTCGACTTAATAAAAAAAAATGTGTAAATAATATACTTCATCAATCCTACTTAAAAAAAAACGATAATAATTTTAGCAAAGTTTGACGAATTTTTAAAATTAAACTACTTGTTATAAGGCCGTAATATAACAGTAAGTTCTATAAGACCATGATGTATATCGCCAAAAAAAGTTCCATGGAAATCGGGTTAAATTTTTTTACAAGAAAACTCGGTAGATTTTCACCTAAAATTAATCAGTACCATTCCCAACTAATATCTTTCGAACAGTTTTTGATTTTTTAAAATCGGTTCGGTAGGATGAGCTTAAATGTGCACGAAAAGTTCAACACTTTTCAACAGTTAATTACAAGAAAACGGCTCGGTAGATTTTCACCTAAAATTAATCAGTACCATTCCCAACTAATATATTTCGAACAGTTTTTGATTTTTTAAAACCGGTTCGGTAGGATGAGCTTCAATGTGGACGAAAAGTTTAACACTTTTTTTTCAAATTGCAAAGAAGCGGCTTGGCAGATCGTCGCACAAAACTGACAAATGATAGTCCTTACCGAAATACATCAAATGGCTTTTAAATTTCTTAAATCGGTTCAGGCGTTTTTGAGAAAACGTCGATCAAAAGTCTAATTTTGACAAATGCCAAAAAAAACGATACCAATTTTTGCAAACTTTGACGAAGTTTTAAAGCTGAATCAGTTGTCCTAGGGCCGTAATATTTTAGTATAATCTAGAAGACTATGGTATCTACCGTCAAAAAATAATCATAAAAATCGTCGATTTTTTGTTTTAAACTTTATTACAAGAAAACGGCCCGGCCGATCTCTACCAAAAACTAATCAGCACGATTCCCAATTAATATCTTTCAAACGGTTTTTGAATTTTCAAAATCGATTCAGAATTGCGGGCTAAAACGTAGACGAAAATTTTTTCGCATTTCTGCGATTTATAAAGAAACGGCTTGGCCGATCGTCGCACAAAACTGACAAACAATAGTTCTCGTCGAGATACATAGAATGGCTTTTAAATTTTTGAAATCGGCCCAGCCGTTTTTGAGAAAACGTCGATTTACGGCAAAAAATCTGTTCACATACACACACACACACATACTTTTTCCAAATTTGGTCTCATTCGATTCAGAATGGCTTGAAACGACGAGAAAACATAAAATTAGAGAATCGGATTTTTTTATGAAAACATAAACTTCTCCTTCGGGAAGTTAAAAATTGTTTTTACTTTTTCATAAACTAACAAATGATTATTCAACAATATTTATTATTAACAATATAGTCGACATCGATGTGAATAGAATCCCGTTATTTGTTTGTCGATATCTTTTACAGTTGCGACATAAAATGACTTTGAAAAAAGGGGCCACTTCTGCATATTTTCAATGATATCTCGGCCAAATGATGAGCTACGGATTCGAGATTTGGTATTTCGGATTTTTTCGAAAAAAGCTATAAAATGGCATCAAAAACATTTAAATACCAGGGTGGGGCCAATTCTGTATGGAAACTCGATCAGACCCTTTAACATAACAAACTACAGAACTGAACAAATTATATATGTATAACCTGTTCTTATTTAATACAAAAATTGAACTTATTTTGCAGGTCATATGCATTCATGATTTAACGTCAATTTATCATGTTCCTATTTTATTGGATTCTCAAGGAATTGTAAACTACTTTAAAGAACGTTTGCGACTGGATATACCATTGCCTAGGCCAAATAGGTATATAACTTTAAGTTAATATTGCCCGATCTTTGACGTATATACTAGCTTTGATATGATTTTGTTTTGTAGATTTATGCAAAAATGGCGAGATCTGGCAAAACGGGTAGATCAACTTCGTAAAGAAGTCAATATTGCTCTTGTTGGAAAATATACAAAATTGGAGGATGCATATACCTCTGTTATTAAAGCTTTACAACATGCTTCCATTTTAGCTGGCTATCGGCTACAGGTTAACTATATTTCCGCAACTGATCTGGAGTACGAAACGAAATTACAGAATCCTGTTCTCTATCATGAGGCTTGGCAGAAATTATGCAGGAGCGAGTAAGTTTCAAGATAAAATATCTACAAATATATGCAATATATATATATATATATATATATATATATATATATATATATATATATATATATAAAGCGAGAGGTTTTTCTTCAGATGTTGAAATAATATGACAAAATAGTTTCTTGGGCATCCATCCAGTAATTAAAAAACAGTTTTATTGAAAAATGTTTTTATTTAGAGAAACATACTTCAAGGTACACGGTCTCCAAACTGACAATATGTTCGTTTGGAATAACCTTTTTTATAATAAAATATATTATTTATTTAATTTTACAATTTTTTAAAAAAAATTTCATAACTTGACGTCTTACCAATTTTTTATTTCAAATTTAATAATTTTTTAGTGCAATTTTGTGTGTTTTTTTGTGTTATTTTTTAAAACTTATTTGTATGCACTGAAGATGGGTCAAATCAAGACCCGAAACGTATATTTCTCTAAATAAAAACATTTTTCAATAAAACTGTTTTTTAATTACTGGATAGATGCCCAAGAAACAATTTTATCATATATGTATATATATATATATATATATATATATATATATATACAGTAGCGGCGCGAGGCGTCGGCGGTGTCGGCGGCCGCCGACGGCCTCGCGCCTGGGGGGGCCTCGCAAGAGGCCCCGGAAAAATTTTAATTATTTAAAATTTAGTTATTTTCATACGGATGTGCGAGTAAAAAAGGTGATTAGTGGTTCACAGGCACTATCATTTTACTCTTTTATCTTTTATGGACATTATCTAATATCGTCTGTCAACACTATAGATTATTAAATCTAAACAACTTTGCGCAAGCTAATTCTCTGGTTGTTTATATTTGTGTATTTCTTATGTGAGCACTATGTAAATCATCGAAACAGTAATTAAATATTCGAGGAATAAAAGTAATCAATGTTCAATAAAAATTTATCAGTGAGAAATAACAATGAGATAATAGCAAAAACTGTTAATTTGAAACTAATCATTGTTTCACACCGTCAACACAAGCAATATATTTTTTTAAACATTCTATTGGGATGATCAGTTCTTTCAAATAAAATTGATAACCTTTTAAACTTTTTTTGTATCTCCAAAACCGCTAAACCTGCCTTTGACAATTTATCAACACAATTCGAATGTTTTTTAAATCCTTTAAATCGGTTGATCGGCTCTGATGTCGTCGACAAAAAATTAAAGCGTCTTAAAAAAAACGACATTTTGACATTTTTGAACCAATTTTAAAAATTCAAAAACTAATCGAAAGTTTTCAGTTGGCGATCGTCCTGAATTGTTTTTCGTCAAGATCGACCGCACAGTTTCTTCGTAATTTATTGTAAAAATCTTTTTTCAAAAACTTGTTAGTATCATCTAACATAAATTTTATGGAACTACGATAAATGATTAATTATAAAAACTCATTAACTTTTAGAATAATGGGACGAGCTTTTAGACCATGTGTACCTACTATGTGATGTGCGGATTTGTGCACTCAAATTAGTATGAACATAGATTTTTTAAATCTAATTAATCACTTGCAGATTGCAAAATTTTGTCTAATTAGTTATTAAGTCGGTGATTTCCAACCATTTTTTATTCATAATGATCGAGAAAACATAAAATTTACTAATAAAATGGTTGGGCAAAGGGAAACTTTTTTGCGATAAATATTTAATTTTAGTGCTTTTTTAATAGCTGGAGAACTAACCATTTTTGCCGAAGAGTTTGTTTATTTTAACTTGTGTAATTTTTGTCTATTTCAATTGGTGTATTTATCTGATTAAAAATAAATTTCATATACAGTTATAGTAATCGCAAAAAAATCTAAAACAAAAAATTTTATATATCTTCAAAGATTTCTGAACATTTTGGCAAATTTTCGTCGACGATTTCGCGAACATGGATCAACCAATTTGAAAAATTCAGAAAACATTTGTCATGTATTGAAGGTAAGAAGACGTGCTGATTAGTTTTTGGCAAAACAGGATAAGCCGTTTCGAATATACGGGACAAAAAATGCCAAACTGATTACATTTTTAGGAAGGCAAGTCTAGCGGTTTTGGAAATCCAGTAAAAAAGCACAACAAAAGCCATTTGGCATATGCACATCAAATTATCAGATATTTTATAAAGATTTTAATTAATAGTGAGTTAAGTTAGACTGCAACGCGCCGTTTACGCGCTTCGATATTTCGTCTCTAAGCAGCTAACGCAACGTGATTGCTTTGAAAAAAAGTTCGAAATTTTCAACAAAATATTTCAAATTAAAAAAAGTCAATTTCTTTCACTTTTCAAATTTTTTAAAAGCTTTTCAAAAATTTAAATTACGGCACGAAAAGTGTCAGCAATTTGCCTTTAGGCATAATGCCATGTACCACTAGTCAACTTGCAACTGGCAAAAAAGGGGGCCTCGCAAACGAATTTCGCCGACGCCCACGAATGGTCTAGCGCCGCCACTGTATATATATGACTGTGCTTTTCATTATATTGGACAAACCTCGCAATATGTACACAAAAGAATGAGACAACATGAACTAAGTGTGGTCCACCACAAACAAAAAAATTTCAAAAGTACCCTAGTACAACACTCTATTGAAAGCGCCCATTCATTTAATTTCACTCCGAAGATCTTATATTATGAAAGTTGCATCTTTAGGAGATTATTCGCGGAAAGTTGTCTTATTCTTATGAATGTTTCTAACAGTGTCAACATTAGATCAGATCACAACCTATTACATGATACATATTTAAATTTTTTACACTTTTTGACAAACAATTAATATCGACTTCCTTTTAAGATCAATAATTTAAGTATTCACACCCTAACATATAAAAACACACACATACAATCTCACAGTTCTCGTTCAAGTGTTTACACGTGTTACACATGACTCACCAGATTTAGTTAGTTTGTTTTCAAAAGCCGATCGCACAACATCGAGAGAACAATATTATTTGTATTTTCAAATAATAATTTTAAAAAGGACAAAACTTTTAGTAATTTTGATTTACAAAATCTAATTATTCGGCGAAAAATAACTCACAATTTCATTTTTTGTTAAAAATCTTGTTTAGTGAAAAAGTGCTAACATATATTCAAACATACAGGTAATTAATTCAACTTTGTCATTAACCTTTTCTTAAAAAAATTTTCCATAACTTTCAAAAAAAAAAAAAAAAATTCTATTATGTTTAATATCCTGTTCTGATAATCCACTCATTTCTTTTTATCATTTTCATTTTGATCATATTATCATATTTCTGTACATTATTATATTTTTTTGCAATTAATTTATTATTTAAGAAAAATCTATTTTCTTTTCCTAAACATATTGTTTGCTCAAATCTCATCAAGATCATGTTTCTTGACAGATGTTCTGAAGATGAAACGTACCTAGTTCCGAAACGTCGACAGTAAATAAATAATTAAATAAAGAAATTGTTTATTAAAAACTTTTCTTGTTTTTTTATTACTTTTGGATTCTTGTTCGAAACTCTACAATATATATATATATATATATATATATATATATATATATATATATATATATATATATATTGAATGGTAGAATCTTGGATTTGTGTATATTTTGTAGAGTTTCGAACAAGAATCCAAAAATAATAAAAAATAAAAAAACAAGAAAAGTTTTTAATAAACAATTTCTTTATTTAATTATTTGTTTACTGTCGACGTTTCGGAACTAGGTACGTTCCATCTTCAGGACATCTGTCAAGAAACATGATCTTGATGAGATTTGAGCAACCAATATGTTTAGGAAAAGAAAATACATTCTTCTTAAATAATAAATTAATTGCAAAAAAATATAATAATGTACAGAAATATGATAATATGATCAAAATGAAAATGATAAAAATAAATGAGTGGATTATCAGAACAGGATATTAAACATAATAGAATTTTTTTTTTTTTTTTTGAAAGTTATGGAAATTTTTTTTAAGAAAAGGTTAATGACAAAGTTGAATTAATTACCTGTATGTTTGAATATATGTTAGCACTTTTTCACTAAACAAGATTTTTAACAAAAAATGAAATTGTGAGTTATTTTTCGCCGAATAATTAGATTTTGTAAATCTAAATCTGATTTGATAGATGTCCTGAAGATGGAACGTACCTAGTTCCGAAACGTCGACAGTAAACAAATAATTAAATAAAGAAATTGTTTATTAAAAACTTTTCTTGTTTTTTTATTTTTTATTATTTTTGGATTCTTGTTCGAAACTCTAATATATATATATATATATATATATATATATATATATATATATATATATATATATATATATATAAAGCGAGAGGTTTTTCTTCAGATGGTGAAATAATATGATAAAAATTGTTTCTTGGGCATCCATCCAATAATTAAAAAAACAGTTTTAATGCAAAATGTTTTAATTAAGAGAACATACGTTTCGGGTCCAGATTTGACCCATCTTCAGTGCTACAAATAAATATATCAGGGTTACAAATTAAGACAATATAAAAAATAATATAAAAGATACATAATTACAGACAAAAATAAGTAGAACCAATGTATATGAAAAGTATATATGAAAAACAACATAAAATAAACATATGTAAAGAAACTCACCATACAAATAAATTTTTTTAAAAAAATATAACACAAAGAACAACACAAAAATGTAAACGAAAAAATAAGTATGAAATAAAAAATTGAAAAAACATCTAGTTATGAAAATTGTAAAAATTAAAATAAATAATGTTTTATTGTAAAAAAGGTTATTCCAAAAACACATCTTGTTAGTTTGGTGACAGAATTACGTATGTGTAAACGAGAGTAAAATGCGGGCCTACGTGTTTGCACCGGAAAATAGTGGAAACTGTTTCGTCATTGGATGAGAGAACGGGATAGAGAGAATTTTAAGGGTTACAGTTATGAAGAATTTTCCAGCGATCATGCGCAAGGAACATAGAAATTTTTTTTAAATATGTAAGTCATCCATAATCAGACGGTTGAACAAAGTTGGA